AAAATGACGTGGATGGTCGGCTTTCCTGCTGGTCGGCTGCTAGATGGAGGGTCAGGGTCTCGTCGGTCATCACGACGATCATCTCTTCGATCGTCTCTTCGGTCCTGACCTAACCGATCGGAGCGTCCATCACGATCGGAACGATCGGAGCGATGATGGGAACGCCGGTGATCTCTCCGATCGGTATTCCTCTTGGTATCTTCTCTTTTCCCCACACACTTGTCCAACTTCCCAAGGTTGAGCAAATCCTCCAACAGTTGGCGCAAGTGGGTACACTCCTCAGTGTCATGCCCGGCACATCGGTGGTAAGCGCAATGCTTACTCTTGTCGGGGCCGTCTCGATCGGGATGGGGGAGTTTGATGATATTGCAGGACTGAGCGTACTGCATGGCCTCCGCTACGGATCGGTTCAGGGCCGTAAACTCACCAGGCCTGGTGCGGGATCGGGGATGGTCATCCCCCGATCGGTGTTCCACCCAGCCGGCTGGTTTACGGGACGAAGACCCGACCTCCTGCACGCGCTTTACGGCATTCGCCTCGCAGGCGTTGGCATAATCTGTGACCCTTCGAAGGGCCTCCTCATAAGTGGCCGGGGGGTGTAGAATAAAATCCTGGTATAAATAACCCGCCCGGAGGGAGATGTGAAGCATATGGGTGGCGGTCGCATCATCCATTGGCTCGACTTCCCCGACCGCCGTCTTCCACTTGACAAGGAAGTCGGTCAAGCTCTCCCCTTCAAGCTGCTTGGCCTTCTCCAAGTACATGTAGGACTTCCTCACCACCTTGGAGGTGATGAATTTCCTCACGAACTTGATTGCCAAGGCATCAAAATTTGCAATTGATCCCGGCTGCAACGTCCGGAACCACTCCGCCGCCCGACCGGTGAGCGTGGAATAAAAAGCCCTACACATCACGGCGTCTGACACGCCCTTCAGCATCATGTTGCCGTAGAAATCATTAACATGGACCTCAGGGTCCGTACGGCCATCGTAACTTTTCTCCCCGGAGACCTTCCAATCAAGCGGGTAGGGCTGAGGCATTACCTCGGCCGTGAAAGGCGTCCTAAGCAAGGTCGATTGGTCGACCGGGGGTGTTGCAGGGTGCGCGTTTCTAAATTGCGCAAACTCCGCCTAGAGATTATAGAGCAATCCTCGGGTCTCGTTGAGCTCGGCGGCTTGGGCAGCTTGGGCTGCCTCCCGAGCGCGTCGTCGTCGATGATATCTCGACCCGCTATGCCCGGATGAAGCCTCCTGGCTGGCTTCCTGCATCTGTACGTCTTCCGGCTGCCGGTTCGGGTCTTGGAGCCCCAAACGTTGTCGCATCGCCGGTCGAAGACGATCGACAGCTACCGCTCGGGCAACTTTTTCGAGGTCCTCCGCTTGAGTGGGAACCTCCGTTGCTTGCTAGGCCTGCCGTGGTGCCTCCATCACATCAGCACCCCCCGACCCCAACCGCGAACGAGCCGAGCGTCGAGCCCGGGAAGCGGGCTGATGCTGCGGCTCTGCCTGTGCGGTCGGGTAAACTGGAAGGGCGGCGGCTGGAGCCGTGTACGCAGGTGTGTAAGGTGGGTAGCCAACCGGGGGCGTATAATACATCGGTTGGCCTGGACAATACCCGTATGGTTGAGGTGGGACCGGGTATGGATATTGGCCGGGATACATCATCGGCTGATGCGGATATTGCTGACCGGGTGTAGGGTACCCCGGTTGAATGTAGTTCACCGGCTGTTGGGCGGCCGGGTATGTGTTGGATGGATGTGGTGGTGAGAGATTGAGGTTGAGGTCCATCGTCTGACCTTGTTGTTGTGTGGCCTGGTGGTCGGATGAGCTCGATGCATCCGCTTGGTCGTCGGCAAAGAGGTTTTGTGCCCACGGATACATGGTGAATGAGTGATCGGGTGCTCGTCAAGACAATAGCTTTCTTGTACGGGTCCCCACAGACGGCGCCAAAATGATACTGCTAATTGCTATGTACGCAGTAATTAAGTAAACACGAGATCAATTAAAGCAAGTAAATATCTTTATTGATCACGGTGAAGGCCCTAAGTACAATCTACTTGGTTTCTCTGAGTACCGACTGACTGCAGTCGGGATTCTCTAACAGCAACCTATTGATCGTCCAAAAGTCCCCCACACTGTAGCTATCGCGGGTATTTATAGCCGCGGAGCCGGAGACACAAATCCGGCCGTTCGGCATGCTTCCCACGTAGCCACCACGTGTCGCCGTCCCGGGTGCCCTGCCTGTCAACGCGTGGAGCCGCCACGTGTCCCTCGCCAGCTCTCTCGCCAAAGGGCTACCGCTCGGTGGTCGACACTTCCGCTCGGGCAACTCCCGGTCGGACCCCGACCGGGTTCTTCACAAGAAGCCCGACCTGTTAACTGCAAAGACAAGAAGACAAAAACGAAGGCATACCAACTGGGGTAAAATTATGTCGGTCGGGATATTCCCTACTAGTACTTAACGCATTGGAGTGGGTTACCAGCATTATTCGCTGAACAGATATATTTGGCTTTCAGGCACATATGAGTAGCTCCGGAGCGCGCTAGTTGGACCCGTGGACCTAGCTAGATTAGTTCTTTTATCGGCCTGTGTGCCTTGAAGTTGTACTAGATATTGATTTGAGGATTTCTGTTGTTTGGATAGTTTAGCCTGTGCATCTGAGTTCTCCAGCTCAGATATGGCATAGCACCCCAACAATTTTGTTTAGTTATGCTCTGTTTGAGATTTGATAATAGAATTTCCTTTATTTCATAAGCATTAAAAGTTTTAAAATTTAGGGGTGTTACATATATGATTCATACAGCCGTGTGGATCATAAATAAAAAATACAATTTAATATACTAAAAGTACATTATTTGTGTACATAAAGTACATTATTTGAGTAATGAAAATACATTATTTTAAATAATGTACATTCAGTATAAAAATAATATACTTTTAAAATTTTAAAAGTGTACTTTGTATTCATAGTCCACACAACTATGTGAACCATGGTCCGCACAATAATTTGCCACAATCAAGTATGTGGGCTTGCCCAAGAAGTCTTTTGGACCAAAGGAGCTAGCCTTGATCGATGCCACGAGCCCACGAGTTTGGCAATCAGTCGTTATATCATGGACCGCGGTGCATAATCGATTATGCATCGCGCATCAAAACGGCTCCGGCGGCGCGCTGTTAGTGTTAACGGAGTGACACTACAATGTATCTAAACTGACACTGCCTCACGTATTATTTTTATATTATCAAATGAAACTGCAGTTATATCAAAATGATACTGTAGTTGTGGTGAAATGAAACTGCAGTATATATAAAATGAAACTGAATAACATTTCACATATTTGAGTGTATATTGTACAATGAAGCTGTAATTATATCGAAATGATCATGTAGTTGTGTTTTAATGAAACTATAGTGTATATAAAATAAAATTAAATAAAATTTTCACATATTTGATTGTATAAATATTGAATGAAACTGTAGTTACATCGAAATGAAACTGTAGTTGTGTTGAACTGAAACTGCAGTGTATACAAAATGAAACTGAAGAACAGATTTAATTTTAGCGGAAAGGCGCGAAATGAATTCCTTTTCTTTTCATTAAATAAAACTACGTCGTTTTGATGTGCGGTGCATAATCGATTATGCACTGCGGTGCACGATATAATTTGCCCTCAAACCGTTCACGATATAATCGATTATGCACCGTCTTTGCTTCTCATTCTCACAACACCGGTCACCGGATTCAGGGGTTACTAGAATAGGGTTTCCACCGACTGACCGAAGAGGCGAAGACTAATAGCTTCCACCGAAGAGAACTAAGAGTGAGATAGTACTTAGAGTCTCACACTAAGAGTAGAGAGTAGAGACATTAGAGAAGAGAGAACTGAGAAGACTTTGGAAGAGAGAAGTCAGAGAACGAGAGAGTTCTCTGGAAGGGAGTGGAAGGTAACTGCGCAAATAATTATTTTAAGGACAAAAATGTCTATTTAACATCCACTAGTACAAAAAAAGGTTTTAGAGTCTCCCATAAAACCCTTTCCGAGTCACCTGTACAGGTGACTCGGATCTTGGAGACTGTGATTGTCTTCCGCTTTCCGAGTCACCCGTAAAGGGTGACTCGGAAAGCGGAAGACAATTTTTTTTAATTTTTTCATACGGACTTTCCGAGGCACCTGCTCCGCTGCAGGTGCCTCGGATAGTCCTTTATTATTATTTTATTAATTTGTTTCCAAGACACCCACTTACAAGTGGGTGCCTCGGATAGTTCTTTATTATTATTTTATTAATTTGTTTTCAAGACACCCACTTACGAGTAGGTGTCTCGGAAAGTTACCATTTAAAAAAATAATATATATATATATATATATATATATATATATATGTATATGTATATCAAAGAAAGAATTACAGCCAAAAAGAAAAGTTTTTTTTTTTTTTTGAACTTGAACTTTATTCCACACAAAAGAGGCACAAGGCCTTTACAAGAGATGCCATAGGTCCAAAAGTGACCCATGGCTTAAAGAAAACAAGGGCAAATGCCTTACAATCATAAGGGCCAAAATTGGCCTAAGCAACAAAAGACCAAATGGCCAAAATGCCAAATAACCTAACCAAGGCCATTCGGCCATTGTCTTCACACATCCTGATAAGAACTGTAATGCATGTTCCTAACAATTCCCTTGCCTCATCCATTTCCTTCAACCTTGTAATCACACGGCAAGCAGCATTGCAAAAACATGACACAATTTTCAGAAATCACACAAATATCGAGCATAGATTAAGCACACATGAAAAGCATTTGTATGTTAACATAATAGTTCTATAGAGTCACCAGAAAGGGAGAAATTAGAGGGGTACCTCAGTCATAGGTGAAATTTCAACTACAAGAAATGGACCAGGGAATTAAATATCTTGTCCTTCAATTGCCGAACTGTGTAGCTATCCTACTGCATAAAATAAAAATAAATAATATTTTTTTTCCAAATCTAACACACAAGCCTAATGTTATAGTGCTCATGGTATTCTCCTTTCTCCTCTACATCTTTGGCATACCTTTGTGTCTACAAGTATGATGTAAATACTTGTAGACACAAAGTAAATAAATGATAGATCAAACATGTTCATCCACTTTTGAAGGTGGCACCACTGTTCTCAGCACATGATACAACACACTTGCAATTTGATATATCTTAGCCATCTCTTTTCTGCAATAGAGAAAGTAAGGAATGTTTTAAATTTATTTTTAAAAAAAAAAAAACTAGGAAATTAGATTAGAATGAGAGACAAAGCTGCAAAAGAAATTCTGAGCAAGCCTCACGGTTTTTTTTTTTGTTGGCCATCTTTGATATTTTTCTCATAGAAGTCCTGGTAAAATTTTTGAATTTCTCTGGGATCAGTTTTTGCAAGCACAGGTTTTGTCTCTTCTTCATAAGCACCTAATCATGCACATCCATAGTCTGGTTATTGCAACCTAAGTGACACCTGCTTTAGAGGGTGTCGCGGACTCTTTTATTATTATTTTAATAATATAGTATTTGTGGCACCTTTTTTCAGTTGGTGCCTCGTATTCTCCTATTATTATTTAATAATATAATTTTTGTGGCACCTTTTCTCAGTGGGTGTCTCGAAAAGTCCTACTATTTTCTTTCCACAGCACCTTCATAATGAAGGTGTTGTGGAAAGTGCAACTTGTATTCCTAATTTTGTAGTAGTGATCAAAGGGAGAAAAATAGCCACTTTAAAAATAATTGAGGGAGCAAATGTGAGTACATGAATAACTCAGGGAGAAATAACAGCATAAGCTTATAATGCAGGGAGAAAAAGTGTTATTTTCCCTTATATTATATAGATGTTGATAATAAATGTAATGTATATACATTATGTAAATAAGGACATTGTCCGCATTATGTACATATATTATTTGTCTCTTTACGGTACTAAGCAATAGCATTATTTCTTTTAGAGAAAATTGTAATTTATGCCCTCACAAATATGCTAATTATTAGTGTCACCCTTTAATCATTAGTGGTGTAAATATTATCTATTAATTTTTAAAACGTGACATATATTGCTCATCCCCTAAATTATTAGTGGTGTAAATGTAGTTACCCGCTGTTTTCTCGGTTCGAAGGCCACGTTTTTTTTTCCTCTATTTTTCTTTCTTCGTTGGTTATCATTCCGTGAACAATAATGTTTCTCCTTCTTCCTATTAGGGGGACGAGCAATATACATATTGAAAATTGAGGGGTAACATTTACACCACTAATAATTCAAGGATGACATTGATAATTGACATATTTGTTAGAAGCATAAATTACAATTTTGTCTTTGTTTTAACATTTTCTGTATTTTAATTTTTCCAATTTATTGTATATTAGTATTTGAACTCTAAATTTATTTCCAAGTTTTCATAACTCGGAAATCTATCTGTAACTCTAAATTTAGTTCCATCAATGGTGTCATGTAAGAGTGGTAGAAAGGACACTACATGAATGTCACAACTCACAAGAAAGCTATCTGTAATGTGATTTATTTGTTTTTATCTGATAAATCAATTATGTTGAAAAAAAAATGTATTTTCCTTAGAGGAAATTAAGGAGCTTGATTATCGGATAAGATGGAAATAATAGAAAAAAATATTCCTCTTCAATTTTTGTACCACCTCAAATAAACCCCCAATTTTTTTTATTTTTTTTTTTGAAAGCTATTTATGTGGATTTTGGTTCCAAAAATTTGATTCTTTTGAAAAAAAAAATGTATTTTCCTTAGAGGAAATTAAGGAGCTTGATTATCGGATAAGATGGAAATAATAGAAAAAAATATTCCTCTTCAATTTTTGTACCACCTCAAATAAACCCCCAATATTTTTTTTTTTTTTTTGAAAGCTATTTATGTGGATTTTGGTTCCAAAAATTTGATTCTTTTGAAGTCCTTTCATTTTCAACAACAAAATGGCCTGGAGAGACCGGCATAACCATTTGCACACTCATCTGATCTACTTACAAAAGAAAATCAATAGAATTAAATCCCTCTGCTGTATTTTTTTATAAAGAAAATGAATATCTATTCCATCACAACTATTGTCTTTAAGTTTCACCACTTTTTAAAGTAGATGGGCAAAATTGAATAGAATAAAGGTACAAAAACAAAATTGAACAAAATACTATAATACATGACTCTCATATGTACTTTGACCTATTCCAAATCAATTTTTGTACTACCTAAAAAAACAAAATATAAATTGAAAGTTATTTGCATTCAAAAAAAAAAAAAAAAAATTGAAAGTTATTTACGTGGATTTTGATTCCAAATATTGACAAGACACAAATGTATTCTTTTGAGGTCATTTCATTTTCGAGAGTCATTACCTAAAATGTGTAGATTTTGGGGAGACAAGATAAATTTGTGCAGTTTTTAAACCCTAGACAATTTTATGTAAAGTACTCCTGCTATTGCCGTTTTATCCATTACCTTTCTTTAACTCCCCTTTACTTTTCTCTTTTCTATTTCTTAAATATTATGAATAATTTTTTTATTTATTAAATATAAATTAATAATTATTATTAATAATAAAAATAATAATATACTAATCATTTCATACTAATAATTAATAAAAGTAATAATTTAATAGCAATAATAATATATTAATTATTTCATACTAATAATTAATAAAAGTAATAATTTAATAACAATAATAATAATTTCTTAAATATTATTTATTATTTTATTTATTTATTAAATATTAATTAATTATTAATAATAATATACTAATCATTTCATACTAATAATTAATAAAAGTAATAATTTAATAACAATAATATTTTCATAAATATTATTAATTATTTTATTTATTTATTAAATATTAATAAATAATAATAATATACTCCGTATTAATCATTTCATAGTAATAATGAATTAAAGTAATAATTTAATAACAATAATAATAATTTCGTACTATTAATTACTAATAATAATAATACTTATAAATTTAATAATAATAATAATAATAATAATAATAATAATAATAATAATAATAATAATAATAATAATAATAATAATAATAATAATAATAATAAGGGTCATGTGCGTATGAAGCAAAGCAAACTGGTATGAGGTAGTTATGGGTGTTGATGATTGAAATGCACAAGGGTGGGTTGACTAGTGCATAATAGACAAGGGTATGTTAGAAGGGCAAAATTGTCTTCACACTATCCTTTTTTCTCCCATTGACCACCAAATTACAATTCTTTGGGGGGGGGGGGGGGGGGGGGAGGTATATATGAATTCTAATTCAGCATTTGGATGGAATTGCAATTCGGTTGAATTGCAATTCCCTCCAAGCAAACGGCGTAATTGTGGCTTCCACTGAATTGCAATTCAACTACAGTTAAATTACTTCCAACCAAACAGGCACTGAATTGCAATTCATATGAGGGAGGGTATGGATTGCAATTCAACAAAATGAGGAATTGCAATTTGGTGGAATTGCAATTCCTTCAAACCAAACACTGTAATTCGGATGACCAAAGAATTCGGTGCCACATGCGTTCGCATTAATCGCTTTAGCGGGATATCGTCCTCGTCATCTTCTCTCTCAAAATCATCTGGTGGTGCAAGTCGGAGTTCCAACCCCATCCCATATCCCATATTGGTCGGAGGCTTGCCTGCTCCATCTACACAATAACCATGTAGATACAGCAAAACGTGCTGATACGACGTAATAAGTGAAGAATAAGGATCCGAGTAACATGTTCCACTTCCGCATCCATGTAATGCAACACCAGCTATCTTGCTCGTCGTAACAGCTTCAGGAAGAGGCTGGAAACCCAACAATTTGTCACATTCTACTATCCATACATTAATCGAACGCTTTTCTTTCCCTGTCACTGCAAGCCCGTCGACTTTCAAACCAAGTAACACTTCAACGTCTTGAAGTGTTATGCCGACTTCACCAAACGGAAAATGAAAGACATGCACATCTATGAGTGCACGGCATGCGCGTGGAGAATAACGGCATCTTCATCCGGCGAGAAAGGACAGTATTGCACGATAGGACTTAGCTGGTTGCACCACCGCAATCGACACTTCCCTGACCGCCCTGGTATACCGGTGCTAATTAGTGACCAGTCTCGCAGCCTGTGCTGCGCCACTAACTTCACCAATGTCGCATCTTCTTCTATTATTATTTTATTTTTTATTTATTAAACAGTAAAAATTAATTTAAAAATAAATTATTTTTTAAAAAAATGGCACATATGCATCCTAGCGGGAGGGATAACCTATTAAAAACTTATAAAACTTATAAATTGGATAAATTGAATGAATTTGGCTAGTTTAAGGATTCAATTGTAGTTTTTTTTTTTTTTTTTTTTTTTTTTTTTTTTTTTTTTTTTTTAGGTTTAGTGACCAAATTGCATTATTGTGTGCAATTAAGTGACCTATTTGACCATTATTCTTATAATATATTATTATTTAATAATTATAATAATAATTGAAAAAATTTAAATAAAAAACTTTTAATTGTTATTTAAATTTATTTTAATAAAGTTTAAACAAAAAAAAACATTTAAAAAAAAAAAAAAAAAAAAAAAACCAGGCAACCCCCCTCCTTCGTCTCCGGCGTGGAGACGAAGAGAGACTCTGCGTCTCCAGGCCGGAGACGGAGAGTCTCTCTTCGTCTCCAGGCCGGAGACGAAGAGTCAGACCATTTCTTCGTCTCCAGCCTGGAGACGAAGAGTCAGAGACTCTTCGTCTCCGGGCTGGAGATGAAGAGAGACTCTTCGTCTCCGGGCTGGAGATGAAGAGTCTCTCTTCGTCTCCACTCGGAGTGGAGACGAAGTGCCTGACTTCGTTTCCGGAGGAGACGAAGTTAGGTCCTTCGTCTCCGGCGGTGAAGGTACGCCGGAGACGAATGAGGTGACAGGAAGTTTGTTTGTTTGTTTGTTTTTTTTTTTTTTTTTTTTTTTTTAAATAAGATTATTAAAATAATTTTATAAACAAACAACAATAACCATTTTTCTCAAAAAAAAAAAAAATAATAATAATAACAATAACCATTTAATGTATTAGCTAGTCATTCCATTTTTCATGTTCAACTTCACAGTTCACACAATACAATCTCTTCAAAAAAAAAAAAAATAATTCTGTTTTTAAAGAATTGTCCATTTTTTTTCCTTATGAAATACCACAATATTTAAGTTAATTAGTTGGATGGGGGGTGGAGTAATAAATAATGTTTGAATTTTGGGTAAAGAAGAAAAGAGTGAATGCTTCTTCAAGAAAAAGAATGAATGCGTGTAGTAGTGCTTTTGGGGTAGGAAGAGGGTGAATAATTCTTTTGCTTTTGAGAAAAGGGGGTGAATTGATGTGTGAGTTTGCAGAGAGTGAAAGGCTGAGGTGAGGTGAAAGGCTGAGATGACTAAATGAGTAGAACTTGAGGAGAGA